AATAATAAATTATTTAGATTATTAAAAATAATTTTAAAAGGTTATGTACTACATACAGGATATCTCACCATGTTAGTCCTCATACATTCCTTTCCTCTACTTGCCTCCTGCCTATAGTTTAGAACTTATATCACTATATGAATACATACTGGATATTAATAATTGCAGTTGTAAAATATTAACATCAATTGGCCCCATAGGATTTGCTATCTCAGATTACTATTTTTTATATAATATATGAAAACAATTTAATTTTTTTATTTTGAGTTTAGGTAAACCAAAGTATACTTAAAAGTATTATAAATGTAAATAATTTTGAAGGTAATTATATATAAAAAAAAATAAATTAAATATGTTCACATAGGTACTAGATTTAAGATGTTATATTGAATAGTTGAGTATTAGCATTAACTATGAAACTTGCAGCTTAATTTTCTAAAATATTTTACGAGATTGTTAGAGGATAAGACATTCAGTTTAAATATTGTTACATTTATAAGGTAAGTATATTATATTCTATTAAATAAATTCGAGATTTTAAATTTTTACCAACTGTCAGATTTATGGTTTAGTTTTTAGACCACATATTAAATTTATTCTAAGTATTTTGTATTAAATGTTTTATTCAACCATTTACAATATACCTATACATACAGTACAGGTACATGGCAACACGAACTGTTGTCTATTTGATTATGTAAATATTAGTCAGTTTTAATTAACCTTAGTTGTAATAACCGCATATAATACACTAGCTGCAGCCATCTCGTGTCATGCAATTTCCTCTTTTGGTAGGAAATTGAATTAGGCTTGGCTAACCAGCGTTTCGTTTAATGTACTGTATAAACTGTTAACTCACGTTATTTAATCACGTATATTACATAGTACACAGGCGAATTGGTGACACTGACACATGGTACATTGCCAACTTGGTTTTGAATGTATCCTAACAGTTTTTTTTCTTTTTTTTTTTGGGGGGGGGGGGTTAGATGATAGCTATCTTTATAATAGGTAGTCAATAACTGATTATTTTTGGTAACTGAAATAGTTAGAGGCTATACTTATTGAGTCATTTAACTTATAAGTAAGAAAGATAAAAAAAGTAAAATAGAAAATATGTCTTTCATTTATTTGCATACTGTATGTAATTTTTTTAAATTATAATATGCTAATTTTGAGTTTTGACTGAAATGTCGACGTATATTTTCTTATATTATATTTGAGAATAAATACATTTTGAAGAAAATCCTATGTAATAATTGTTCAGCATTTTTATACAGGTAATGAGTACTACTAGAATAATCAGAAACACATTTATAAATTCACTTATTGTCGTCTAACTTGGAGTTCAACTATTTTGTTTGATATGAAAAATGTAATTTTAGTATTGATTAAATATAGTATATTAATTGATCAATGATTTTAGTCTTAAAAAAATTGACTATAATACTTCAATTCAAAACAACATACTTTAAAAATATTTATTTAAATAATTTGATTTATTTTTGTTATAATACTTCCCTTGTATTATGATCATGATCATGATAATATTAAAATACGGTTAACAAATCTTTAAACCAATCATGGAGATAGCCATTTCTAGATAATATATTAATATATATATAGGTACCTATGTAATATATACTTACTACAATATATTATGGTTTATAACTGGTAAATGTCGAAAGGCGTAACATTTCATATCTTATTCTAAGAACCCTGAATCATATACAGTGTATTAAATTCTAACATCAATGGTAGATCTTCGTGTTGCAATTTGTCCGTGACCATTCCGGACAACCTCGTAATTGAATTTCACACAGCCCTCTACAACTGAGGGTGGACAATAACGTGTCGGGACGTTTTTCTAGGTAACTTAATCTCTCCATTCGTTTTCTCTTGAATTTGTGGTGTAATTGTTTTTGTATAGAAGGACTTGAGTAGAGAAACAAAAAGTGTAGTACTTTGAGAGACAACAAAAGTTGGACGTGCTAATAAAATTCGTTTGTAATAAGTTCATTGTTAAGAATAAAACTTTTCAATTCAAATTAAACATTACTATGTGATTGGCTCGTTTGTTTTATTGTTGAATGTTCTGAATAATTAATATTTTGACGTCATACGGTTAGGGAAATACTTCGTCTGGGGTCCCTTGTGTGTGGTTTCTTCCGGTGGAAAATTGATCCTGTGCGCCCATCTTCGACTGTTTTTATACTGCCAGGGAATAGTGCCCGCCAGAATTTAAATTAGAAATTAATGTTGGAGAGCGAATAAAAACTATTCTAGGATTCTGTGTTACCTTTTATGTAGGTCATATTTATTAAGGGATGCAAAGTTGGAATAATATACATGAACGCGAGTAACGGGCACTTTATGTTATTTTATACGTTATGAATCTAAACCATTTACTTAATAGGTTGGGTCTTTAACATTTACCTATATACTTATAGCATAAAATAAACATATATTATAGTACTTAGGTACACATATATATAAAAGTATTTTATTGAGTTTACATTTCACTTTCTTAAAAATGATTAGTATTATTGACTAAGATTTTTTTAGCTATAACGAAAATGTATTAACTATTAGGTATATATATTATTCGTATTTATTTTCTCGTGTAATTTGTCTGACGATATTTTCATTATTATAATATTTTGGATGTATTATAGTCAGTAGATTTTGCATTCGTCAGATTATTAACTTGTTTAATTATTGATAAACTCTTATTATTTATGAGTTTCGCATTATTCTGAGTGATTAAAAAAAACTGAGAAAATTACTATGCTGCATTCACCTATTAAAAAACAATAAAATAACTAAAATCTTTATATTTTGTTTTTATCCAATTCCAACTTAACATGCTTAAAAAAAATTGTGCGTAGGTATTTATACTTAGGGTTTTTATGTTGCTTTAAGACGAACATAATATGATTATCTTTTATTACGTTTTCAATCCTTAGCTATTTAATATTTTATAATTTAATGTATATGATATAGCATAGGTATATTTGTAAACCATTGTAAAAGCCATTACAGTTTTTATAATTGTCACGAACTAGTTACTATTGGAACAACTTTAATACGGTTTGATTATCAATCAATAGTATCATATTATATTAGTTCAGTAATACATACTACAAAGTCATGTAGATTTTATATTGTCCGACTTATTCCATAATATAAAAGACTTCGTTATCTATATATATTTATAAAAATATATAGGGTTCAGGCGACCGACTTATATTATATTAGTGTCCAGTAGAAAATGGAATGTATGTTCGGTGTGTGGGCCCTTATAATAATAATTATTACAATTAATTATGACCACTTTGGATGTAGCGGATGGGACGTGGAAATGTAGTAGTCGATGTTGCAATGACCCTTTATGTGCCAGATGGCGAATATTGTTTCGGGTGTAGCGAGTGAGGGTGGGTTAAGGAAAGACCCCTATCCATATCCCCTTTTTGATTTTGACAAGGATTTTGCTGTCAAGCATGGTTAACGTAAGATCGGAATCCAGATTTATGTGCTGAGAGGAAACTTTTATATTATATATCCTTTTTTATTTGGTTACACGCAAAAAGAAATACTCAAGACAAAACTTAGTACCTATTTTTCATTGAAGTTCATACCACATGGTTAATATAATATCTATATAATTTTTTTGAACTATTGAAAAATGTTGTTGAACTAAAATTAATTTTCACCTAGTAGAAAATAAAACATTTTTATAAATATTCTATTCATTCGTATTGTTTGTGTGTAAATAACAATTTAGTTTTATATTTAAATTATACAATTTATTTAACTTTAGTGAATATTCGCTTTTAAAATAATATGGAAATATATGTATAATTATAACGAAACATTTTAGTTTTAAATAATAGTTTTTAAACATAGATAGGTATATTACTATATTTAAGTAGGTATCTTGTAAAATTACAATTTCATATTAATTATCAGTTTTTAATCAATCGACTAATAATAATAACATTATTTTGCAATAAGTTAATTTAAATTAAAGTTATTATTTTATTAATGATAAAATTCTGTTTAGAATTTTGCAGAACAAACATCTGGATCTGATATTTAACATAAATATTTATAATTTAAATATATTTTGTAGGTATTTATGTCTGTGTTTATTGTTTTATTGCATATGGGATTGGATATGAAATTATTAGGTATTTTTTGAATAAAAAAAAAAATAAAATCTATTTTTTGGTTATTAATTAAATTTACTATAGTATGTTGTAACCACATATTAATCTAAGAAATATTATAAAAATAATTTTGGTTCGACAATTTATTATTATGAATAAGTCAGTTTTTATTAATTTGCTTTCATTTGCATAATGTGATATGCTGGTAATCATTTCTGTGACTGAACAATAATATTGTACTCCTGTGAACGGCGACACTGACGCGCACTAGCTGACATTGCTTGCCAGTTGCTACTGCTTTTAGTAGTGGTTCTCGTGACCCGTTCGCCGATGGTCTTGCTCCGTGTGCGCTTTACTGTGTGAATTGTAAATTAAAACATACAATTTTTAAGAATAAATTTGACATTTAATTATTTGTGTGTTATATTTTTATATTTCTTATCATATATGTAAATACTTATTTTTTGGATTTTAATTATTCGTATTTAAAATTTATTTATAAAATGTTATTTGTACCGAGTGAATAATGATTATATAAAATTGATACTCCTGTAGTTTATTTTGGTGTTTTTGAAAAACCACCGAAATCAGGTAATCATTTTATAATTGAAGGTTGATATTTTTAGTTCTGATGTTTTAATTTATTGTTATCATTATAAATTGGTAATTTTTTGGTTTTCTTGTGATAGCTAAAAATATAATTACAAATTTCCTTTGTAAAATTACAAAAAAAATATATTAAATTACATTGTATATGTCCTATAGTTCTTTAGAATTAAAAATTGGTATTATTTAAAATTTGCTTAATAATAACTTATTATATTGTTTCAGGAGTTACCATGAGAGAAAAGAAGAGTGGTGCTTTAAGCAAAGTTCAAAAAATTAAAAAACGCTTGAGCCATAGTTTTGGCCGACTTTGTAAGTACTAATTATTTTGTATCATTGTTTTCTTGTTGTTTAAGCCTAAGCTAAAAGAAATACATTGTTGAGATTAAAATTAATCGTTAACATGTTAATTAGAATAGAATATCGACCAATATTGATGTAATGACATTTGAATGATTAAGTCTTCAGTGGGGATGTTGATTGTTTTTAGTACCTACTACGGTTACCTGTGCTGTGTTAGAACAGAGTTGTATTTCTATAATGGTGGAATGCCTACGCGATCCGTCAGCCTACGGATTCTGCGAACTTCTGACGCGTTTCCTTTCTTAGCATAAAATAAAATGATAAAAAATATCATACATTTAAAGTGCTTGCTAATTTATAATTTTCATCGCTGTAATATTTAAAAATTAGTGTTATCTAGTATACTACTTCAATTAGACTTTAATTGATTGTAATTTTTATTTTGCGTTTTTACGGATTTAGTCTCCAATTTTGAATATCGTAAAAATAAACTTATGCTACTAAAAAATAAAATAATCCATTATTGCAGTATAATATTACTATTATTATTATAACATTGTTTATTTATCTTAGAAATGTTTATTAATTATAGTTTCCCGTGTGGGGGGGGGGGGTGTTCACCTAACATTTAAATCAGTATTGGAACTTTTTTTTCGTTATTTATTTTAATAAGTACACATTTTTTTATCATTATCTGTTACTGGCCTGTTAAATAATGTTTTGGTACTGCTAGAAAATTGAACTATATGTGGAAATTAAGGATATTTTAGTACATGAATTACTATTATAGCCTATAATAGATATAGTGTACGTATACACTTGTACATTTTGTGCGTAATTTTTTTTTACCTATAGGTAATATTTCTTTCATTTTAAATGTTATTTTAATTCTGCCGTATTAATATTTTGTTCCTGGCATTTTTTATGTTATTAGTATGTGCAAAATACACTAGGTAATAAGTCTGATATAAACGGCATGGCCTATTCATATTTCTTCTATATTTCTTTATATCTATAATTTATATTTCTACTATACTAATCCGAATAAATTATAGTTAAATTTAATTAATTTATCACTCATTGTTTCCGATTTAAACTTTATTTTAATAATGTTCCCAACTATATCTGAACATTTTAATTTAGAGACATTACATATTAAATTAAATTTTAATTGCGAATATTAGAAAAAAAATAGAATTTTACTTACCTATTTTCTGTATCATTAACATTTGTTCTTATGAACGTCTGTATTTCGTTTACTATAGGCACCTTCCTATATCTTGTAGTATCATATTATAAAGTATTATGTTTTCTATTGTAGGTGGTTGTAAAATACTTTATAGTAAAGCACTAAAGCGTAGGTTTGTAATATTTTACACCACAATCCAGTTATTATTTTTATTTTGTATCATATTATGATAAAATGTGTTATACAACACCGGTCTTACAATAATGATATGGTTAAGCAAGTTGTCAATGGAATACCTAGTAACGATTATAGTAATACTCCAGTAATACGCCTCTAAACACTGATATATTATGTATTAATGAAATCTGATGATAAATAAGTTAGTTATTACTAGGTATGTAACTTGTGGTCAGTTGACGTTCTCATGCATCTCTCTGTTCATGAAGTTTCAACTATTTTAATTATGAACCATATATATTATTATAAAGTTAAAGAATTAGATACTGTTAAGTTCTATTTAGTTATAATTTATAAACAAGTAAGGGTATAAGGTGTAGGGTCTTTAACCATAAATGGCGATAATTTTATATTATGAATATAATAAGCAACCAAATAATGAAAATATTTACAGTTTCACCTTTGTGTTCAAAATATTGAATTAAAATGTTATAGTTATTTTTTTATGTCATCTTATAGAATTAATGACGTATTACAGCGATTAATTTTCTACAGTTTTGTTTTTAATTAATTCGAGGGTCTATTAATCCTCCATGTAGTTGGAAAAGACCACCGACTCCATAGGGGGTATTTTCCATTAGTAGGATTAAGGTTACTTCGTCCTCAGAGTTCTACTGAAATTTTACGTTTTAGAAATCATATTATATTTATATTTTTATTTGAAGTGATATCGTTTTAAGTAAAATAACAATAATAATAATAATAATAATACAATCTTCATAATTCTTTTGTTATGACTCATTCAAAACTTCCTTATAGATTACGATGTAGTAATATATACACACACACACACATCCACACACACACACATGAACATTACAGAATATTGTTAAGACGAATTGTATTGAATCGGGTCATCATTATCTCTCTGATCTTCTGGTTTATTTTATCAATTATATAGATATCGGTATGTATGTAAATATAAATAATAACAAAAATAGTGTGGTATATTTAGTAATTTTATTATTACACATATATAAACTTAAATATATTTATTTAACTATTTATCTAAATGAAAATGTTATACGTTACAATCACAAAACTATAATATTATAGTTTTCCCTGAAATTAAATAAATGTTTTATCGGTATGACAATTATTATTGCCTCGAGGCCCACTCGTCTCATGTTTGCCTTGGCTGTTAGGCGTCTGGCTGATGATTCATTTTACTGCATAGGCAGGGGTGCTAAACATGTGCAATAGTATATGTACATTTTACATTCATGGTGCATTGAATAATTAAAGATATACGCGTGTTAAATTGTATAGCTTAAATTAATGTTTGGATTCTAATTTATGATGTGTATTCAAGTTTAAATAACTTTAATTAATAATTCGGTCATACATTTATAATTATTTTTAATATACCTATTTAGTTAACAGCATTTTTAGTAAAATGTTCCAATTTTCAAGTTAATAAGTAGGTGCCTAAGCCCTATCATAATAAAATCAGGACTTGTTACACATACTAGATGTTAAGTAGTCTTAATTTGCTTGTTTTTGAGCAGGATAGTAGTGTGCTAAATTAACTATCATTCATTCAAGTCATCGTATTTGATAAAAACATTTCCAAGTTAAGGTTAGATCTAAGCTTGCTGTTGTTTCATCAAAATAATACCTATCTAATGTATCTTTGGATATTAACTATCAAGTAAAATTACTGTACTGAATATAATGATTCTGTTGTTCAAAATATAGTGTTAAACGGAATATATATTCAGTATTATAAATCGGTTCTTAATATACGTTTGTCGCTTTATAGTTTTTACGAACAAGCCTGCAAGTTGAAACATAGGAAGCCGAATGAAAAGATGAATAAGAGTAAATATAAAAATTGGTAGTTATACGTGCATTGAGTTCCGGAAAACAGTTTAAACCCTAATTGTCATTCGACGCGCATGCTTATTGTACCCTGCGCATGTGTATATCATAAAAACCAAAGCAATATACGCCGCAAGTCTCAATGTTCACACCGCATTAAATCACGTACTATTTTCTTAAATAAAACGTATATCTTTTGAATAATTATGTTATTTATTTTTTGTGTTCATTATCTAATCAACAATCAATAGTCAGATGATTTTTTTATATTGTGGGATACGGAAAACAATCGTCAACCATTATAAATATTTAGTATAGACCACTATATCAAATATATATAATATGTAATATACATATAATTTATGATATATTATTTGATTTCCAAAAAAAATGTAAATTGAACCATTATATTTATTTCGTTAAGCCCGTGTTTTCAACTGTCAAGTATGCTGACTTTAAGAGCTTTTGTATTTGTCTTTGAATAAGTTAACCCCCTTTTGCCGAGGGAGATAAACTTGTCGTTTAAAATCTTTCAGAGGGGATGTATTCATCCTAAAGGTCTTATGTGAATTCGTTCCTTCTTAACACCTGTTTCGTAGGTTATTTCATATATCATGGAAGTATTTTATAGGTAGTATAAATAATTATCAATTAAATATTATTTAGATTTTTAGTATAACATATTTTGGATACATTTCATGGTTCATTATTAATTCTTGGAGCATAAATGTTAATTGGTGTTCAAAAATAAATGCGTTGATTTTCATATTTTAGGTACACTATTTTGGTTTTGATCTTTATATACGGTGAGGAGATTACAGGAATCACAAGTATTTTATGATATTTATTCATATTATATGGATTTTAAGACTTTCAGCCTACAGGTGACGAGTGATGACATTTATTCTGGTTTTAAGAATGTTATAAAATATTTAATTTTGTTCGTGTTTTTTTTTTGTTTTAAATTGATCTACAAACATTCTTTAATGTTCTATAGTCCTTTTTTATTTTACCTTCCTATGTTGTATGTTTATCTCTATATTATGCTAAATATAATCTTTACAGAAGTAGGTAATATTATAATACAACTGTTTTATAATAAATAATTTTCTCCGAATGTTATTTGATTTTAAATAGAGTTGTATATTGGTGAAAATTAACAATATTTAAGGTACACTAAGTAAAATTTACGATATATCATAAAGAAAATTTTTCAAGTAAAGTATATATAATTTTTTTTTTACAAATAAAATGTAAATTATATAAAATTCTTGGACTTTCATGCTTTGTATCAAATACGTTTTATTTTTATTGAAATAGCGTATTTTATGTTACATCATATGTAAATCATTTCTTTTAGACATATCTAAATTAATAAGTATTACAGAATGCAGTTGTTTGAAAGCTACAATTTAAAAATAATATCCGAATCATTGGTATATAGGCATAAGCCATTTGTAAATGTGAGATTATCGGGTGACATATTTGCAGAACATCTATCGTATATGAGCTTTTGTTGTTACGTTCAATGATTTATGGTGAATTTCTACAGAAATGAAAATAACAATAGGGCTATAGGGGCATAAGTAAACACAAGGATTATCCTTTTGCACTGTACATTACAAACGTCTATATATCAAACAAGGATATTCTTAGCCATGTCCTATATTTTGAATCAATAATAGTATTATATATTCCAACATTTCATTTTACTGCGATATTGACCTTATAATGTACCTAATATACAATTTATTATGTTTTG